GGAGGGGGGGGAAAGTGGAAGCAAGAAGCGAGGCCCTAAAACACCCCGTTTTGCACTCACCTATGGACGTGACTGCAGTCGGATGCAGCCTCGGGGATCCTTCAGACAGATTGTGGCTTTCTTTTTTCTTTGTAAATTTTCACAAGAAAAAGCGAGCCTTTTTCAGGCTTTTCATTATGCTCAAGGAATGGAGACCGGGGGCCTGGTCCAATTATCGAAGAGGATTGGATTTAACTCCTGAATCTGGACGTGTTTGTGTGGACATCCAGAAAAACATTGTGCTTGATCTGCTTTTCCGCATCTCTCCCCGAAACGCTTCCCGATTCAGGAATTAAATCCAATCCTCTTCGATAATGGGACCAGGCCCCGCCCTCCGGAATCCCTCAAAAAACAACCTGGAAAAGGCTAGGAGCATTACCCAGTTTCATCTAGGAACAGAGTGGGGTTTACACCTAGGAACAGGGGGGCCAACACTTGATCCTTCACTTTCAAAACCCAGGGGCAGGTCACCCCACATAAAGGGCCTCGCTGCACTACGCTAGACACATGAAAATTTTCAAGAGTTTGTCTAGCGCTGTCAGACTCCTGGATTGGCATCAAGTGCTGTCGTTGCTGCACTTACTCCGGACTCTCGACTCTCGTGAGCATTCTCGATTGTCGGACAGACACTACACGATAGGGCAGCGACGATTTGTCCACCAAGACCGGAGGCCAACTCTCGAATTTGCAAACCGCATGAAGGGACCCGCGGGCCTCGTTTGAAAAAACAGCTCCTGCAGGCAGGGACTCTGGAAACTTCAAGAGCTCGTCGGATGGGCCATTTTTGACACCTCTTGAAGCGCCGAACCAAGAGCAGTTTTCCACAGTTAGTGCAGCTATGACTCACTCTCGACATTTTCGAGAGTGAATCTGACAGCTCTTGAATACAAATCCAGGACGCAGCATCAAGAGTTAGTGCAGCGGTGATGAACTCTTGATTTTTCAAGATTCAAGAGTAGTGCAGCGAGGCTCAAAGACCGGTACTGGGAGCCTTACCCAGCTTTCTATGGGACCAATGGGACCCGCGGGACTTCTTGTTCTTGTCCCAACAGCATTCAAGAAACATTAAAAGGAAGAACATTTCCAAAAAAAGAAAGGGACTTCATAGGCAGGGAGAGCGATGAGGAATAGTGAGGGAGAAAAGGCCAGAAGAGAGAGGGTTTTTTTTCTTTTTCTTTTTTTTTTAACTCATCAGTTGGCCCTGCCAGGGATAGTGATACGAGCACCCACCCCTAGCAGACCGCCTGTTGGCTCCAATCTATTGGTGGCGAGCCGCACCTACTGGAAAACGGGTTCAACGTCCCTTATACATAGTTTTTCATAAAAGTATGAGAAGTATTTGAATGTGTTAAAAGTTAGAAACTTTTTTTTTTTTTTTTGAATGGGAACAAAGCTCCAATCTATTCGTGGGGAGCAACACATGCTGGGAACCGGGCCCAGCGTCCCATATAGAAAATTACATAGGATTTTGAAAAAAATTGGGAATTTGCAGTACCGGGGCCACTACCTGGCTTTGGCTAAGAGCTAGATTAAGAAATACAACAAAGTACCGAAAATAGGCAAAAATTCAGGAAAAGACTAAGACCCCCCTCCATCCTCATGACCTCACTCCGGCAAGTCTTATTGCAGCAAATTCACCATCTCTGTTGCTGCTGTACCCTATTACCATCCTACCAACTGGCCCCCTCACTAGTAGGACGCTTGATATCCAACCTTCTTCTCCCACTCACCTAGGCAAAGTTTCAGGAAACGTCTCAAAAAACCCCATCCATCCTCTTTACCTCACTCCGGCAAGACTTACTGCAGCAGAGTCACCATCTCTGTTGCTGTTATACCCTATTTCCATCCTACCAGCTAGCCCCTTTACTGGTAGGACGCTTGATATCCCGCCATCTTCTTCCAACACGAACCAACGTCGTTCTGACCGCAGATTTATGAATACAACAGCATCTCGAGACCACCAGAAGCAACTGAAAGACAATTTTGAAGGTTTGAGGTACCGGGCCATTATCCGGCTTTGGCGAAGAAAACTTGGAGCCAGATTAAGAATTACTATCGAAAAATTCAGAAAATAGGCAAGACTTCAAGAAACGCCTCAGAAACCCCCATCCATCCTCTTTACCTCACTTCGGCAAGACTTACCGCAGCAGAGTCACCATCTCAGTTGTTGATGTACCCTATTTCCATCCTACCAGGAAACCCTCTCACTAGTAGGACGCTTGGTATCCCACCATCTACTTCTCCCAGTCACATAAGCAAAAGTTCAGAGATCCCAAAAGCCCCCATCCATCCTCTTACCTCACTCCGGCAAGACTTACTGCAACCGAGCCACCATCTCCGCTGCTGCGGTTGTACCCTATTTCCATCCTACCAGCTAGCCGCCTCACTAGTAGGACGCTTGATATCCCACCATCTACTTCCAACACCAGCCAGCGACGTTCTGGCTTCGAACCACTACAGATCTATGAATATAACCGCATCAGAGAAGCCCACAGTGAATAGCAAGAACCCCCCAGAATCCTGAAGCGACCTCAAGACCACCAAAAGCGACTTACACAAATCGACTTACTCATAAAGAAAGAGACTCGAATAGGATTATCTGGAAGCCGATATATTTGAAAACATGTTGCCCCAATGCTATCAACAGACTATCATACGGCTGCCTCAACCCACATATCCAAAATACCAGGCTCTTCTAGGCCTTACACCCCCAACCGCTGGGTTACAGGGTGGTGCGACCCACCCCAGCTCCGATTCGCGTCGTCCTAATACCAGCTCGCGGTTAGGAGTTAGAAACTGAGGATTGGTTGTGACCTATCTCTCCTGACTCTTAGTCTCTTGCATCTATTTCTTCTGCCAACTGAGTGAACTCATGTTGTATCTTTTGTAATCAGTCTCTTCAGCCTTATATGGCCGCCGGATCATACATTTTTATCTAGCTGGTTACAGCTTATCAAAACATTTCCTCTTCATTCACAACCATACCAACTCATGGGGGCCAGGGATAATGAGGACGGGGGAAAGGGATATGGGAACTCTGACAAGGGATGAAGCTGTACTGATGAGTCCATGTTTGTACAATCATGAAATATTAAGCGGTTGTCTCCTTTAATTTTTATGCTTTATTTTTCTTTGTTCTCTCTGCTAACCACACTCTCTTTGATTAATCCAATCTTACCTCCTTGAAGCCCCTTTGGCCAAGCGTCACTGAATAGTTTAATATAATGTTGAATTTCTTTTTTATTCAACAGGAATTTTATTTTTTCTTTTACTTTGTCCCATTGAGTTGTGATTACAGTCTGCACCTACAACTTGACTGTCTCTGTAAAAATTTGGGTCATCCAATCTCGCCCTCTCCATTTCAAAAGTACAGCAACGTTGCCACAGGGTCCAGAGGATGGTTTTTCTGCCTATTATGAATAAGTTGTGAGATAAATCATTCAGTTGATCCGAAAACCAGGTCTCACATAACAAAGCCCGTCAGTCCCACGACCAAGTTTAAGGGGTATTAAAAGTTCTTCATACCCCATCCCACCATCGCCATAAATAGACAACACCTGAACATTGAAGGAAGATGTGCTCAATGGTTCCCAGAATGGTCCTAGACTTAACCACTTGACATGTCTAACAACGAAAAAAATTTTCATAATTAAATAATCATTCTATAGTAAAATTACAATATAAATTTCAAATTTTCATTCCATCTTAAAAAATGTCATTCCAATTTTAAAATTTTTCATCTTACTTGCAAACTTTCATTCCAAGAATACGATATCCCTTCTTATTTGGACTGCATGCTAGAGATGGAATGAAAATCTGGATGAGTTCATGAAATATTTTAGTTGGACTGTTATTCTAAGTAAGGATTT